CAAAGTAAACCGATCCACTATGCTTGAAATAAAGTACACTGAACTTTGACTCTGGCTCACACCCTATCGTTCTACCAAACACCAACTGCTGACAATCCTCTAGCTTTGCGACTCCCCGTCCAACAACAACTTAATCTCAGGCTTATGCTTGATCTTTGTATAAGAGTAGCAGGTAGATCAGACAACACTCCTCGAATGTTCCAACCCTTTCAAAGTGTGATCGTTTTTACTTCTATTCAACTTCTGGATTTGATGTAGAAGTAGATCTGCTTTTGTCTGATCGATGTAGATACAACTGTATGATCATGATTAGGATTCGAACAATACAACTCTAAACTAAGTGTTTATGTGTATATGTTCTTGAAAGATAAACAGAAAATTCTCTAAGAATTTCTGAGACAATAATCTTTCTAAGGCTTTTTAAGAATAGCAAACTGGTAATGTAAAAGCCGCTATAAACCAATGTATATGACAAGGTTTATACAGAGTATAGAATTACCTAATCCCTCTGAAAATATGAAAAAATTCGTGCATAGGATTTGGTACAATCTTAGACCAACTGGGAAACAAATCAGGAAAGGAAATTGAAAGTTGTATTGTAAACAGGATACCTTAAACCAGTTCAGAAGGGCTGAACTGGTTCAAGATTGGCATAAACTTTTCGAAGCCAATCTTGACAGACTTGAATTCCTTTGTCCATTCAGCCAAAAATCATTCTACGGAAACTTCGGTAAACTATGGAAAGTGTAAAATGTGTCCTAACCTGTTTAGAATCCTTCCTAATACGTTGTTCTTACCTTTTGCTTCAAATGATCTTCAATTATGGTAAGTTTGAACAATTTCCCAATTCTATAGTCTTTGTCGAATTTGATAACTTGCACAACAAGTAATTTGAATTACAACTCGACTTGGACTTATTTTGTTTACGATAATTGCCAAAAATAAAATAATATCTCACACAACTAAATTTACTAAATCATATATTGTGTTTAGGAATACAGAATTGATTTTTTGTAATTATAATTATTTTAATGTTGGATTTGGGGAGTATTAAAGTGGTGGTTGACAGGGGTATAACGGTGTTGACAGGGATCCGAAAAGTAAGTCCTTGAGGTATCGCTTTCAATGATACGTATGTTATGGAGTCGATACACGTGCTCTAAGGAAAAGAAAAAAAAATAAAAAATAAATAATAATAATAATAATAATTTGGTGGCTTGGAATTATAATTATAAGAAATTTAGTTGACAATTTAAACTAAATTTTTTCTAATTCTAATTTTAAAGCACGAATTCAATGCTATGAAACATACCTTAAACTATTTTTTTTTTTCAATTTTAATTTCAAATGTTAATCTCATGCTCTCAAACGGCAATAAGAGAATAATAACTTATGTTTTGAAATAAATATAATATCATGTTATACTTTACAATTTACAAAAAAGATACTTTATGAAATCATGATCATGATAATGCAATGAAATAATTAAAGAGAATAATATCTTATGGTTTGGTATAAATATAATACCACAAATACCATGTTACAATTAAAGGGTGGAAAGATGCTTTTGAAAAACACTTTTACCATACTTGATAGGACATGCTTAATTATTTGTAAAACTTTGATTTGCACGCCCTTAAATATCACACACGTTTCATAATTTTGTCCGCTTTAATATAGCGTAAAAATCACTGAAACACTAAAGTGTAGGCTTCAAAAAGTTAGCACCTTCTTCCTATTCTATGATGTTCTATCTTGCCTAACCATCTTTATCCTTGTCTCTTATAAGTATTTTAATTTAAAAACAAATACTTTCTTTTTACTTACATTCTTTATGCACAAAAAATAAAAGGTTTTACCCATTTCATAAGTCAAGTGAATATTAGTACTTAATTGTGAAGTAATTCAACTAATCATTTAAATTCGGAAAGCTCGGTGCACTTATTTTTTTCCATTACACAATTCTGACTAATCATGACCGAGTAATTGACTAATTTTTTAATAAAAAAAATTAAAAACCAAATTTCTATACATTTTAAATTAAATTTTAATTTTAAATTAAATTTTAATTTTACTCACTTTTGTCAAATTATTTATTTATTCATAAACAAAATTAAAGAACAATAATATGTAGATTGATATCAATAAAATAAGCACAAAAAATAGAGTTAATATGAAAATCATTATTCAATGAGATATAAATTTAGAGAGAGTAAAAAACCATTTTTTTTTTTTTTTGTAAGAGACATGAATTTTTTTAAAGAGATTAGTATTTCACCCACTTTTATTTTTAATATTAATTATATTGACGTTATCCAAACAACTAATAAGAATTTATTTATTCGTTTTTTTTTTTTTTTTTCTCATGTAAACTTAACTAGGGTTAAGAATTTAAAAAACCTTATTGTAACTCTTAACAATTTTCACTCTCCATTTCTCAATTTATATGCCACGTGTTTTTTTAGGCTCAACTAATTTTGAATGGCACCACAATTTTTCGGAGAAAAATCTCAATCCACGTCCCTCGTGAGTTGTGTGAGTCGTGTGACCCTGTCTTTATACATTTTTATTACAATTGACCCCACGCAGGGAAATTACGAAACTGCACCTAGTGGTGTGGAACGAGTTTTTTTCACGTGTTAAAACTTGGTCGCCATCTTTCAAAAAATAAAAAAATAAAATAATAATAATAAAAAAAACTTGGTCGCCACTAACGAATAATATGGCAGCCGTTTGATTACTTGTTTGCTTGTTGCTGGCTATGATTGATCCCATGGGACCTACCACCTACTTGGTCCTGTCGGCACGAAATGTTAGAATAAAAGTCGTCTTCTTCAAATTGACCAATTTAACCCTGTGACCTGTTCTAATTTCTCTGCTAGCCCCATCATTTAGGAAGGACGATTTCTTTATTTTCTTTTTAGATTTTGCAAAATATATATATAAATAAATGTGCACAATCAAAACAAACAAATGAACACTATAGAAACACAGATGTTTTTTTATACAAAAGTAAAACGCATAATTTCTATTTGATAAAATTATATATATATATATATATATTAAAAAGTGATAGTTATAAATTGAGATATTTTTTATACTTTTTTTTTCTTTTAATTTTTAATGTCCAATATTCAGTGCAAAATAAAGTCACCATTCATTAAATTTTTAATCTGCTTTAAGCCACCCTTATTTTTTTTAGTAATTTTTAAACTGTGTTATCCAACCCGTTTGATAGAACAAACTCTTAATTTATTCAAAATTGAATGTTAAATTAAGAGTAACTAAAATGCATCTCAGCACAGATGACTCAGTACCCTAGTGGGTTAAAAATAAATATATATATATAAAATATCTCTGCTATTCTAAAAGTTGGATCAAATATCAATAAGGAATGCGTGAAAAGACCAAATCCATTCTATTTATATGAAAAATATTAGTACCAATTTTGGTTATTATTGTTAATTTTATTTTTCAATATTGATTCTGCATTTAATTGAAACTGCCAAAAAAGTACTTCAATGTCCACATCTTATTTTGTACGATAAAAAAGTGTGAAATGAATCAATTTTGATGAAATAGTGGGCACATTTGTGAATTTATCACCTCTTTAAATAATGGTAACAATAATTATAAATTAATAAACAAGCACACTAAATTAACTTCTGTTTTTTTACAAAATTTAAGACTATTTTCATCTACCTCCAATCTTCTTATCAATATCAATTCACAAGTGAGAAAACAAAACCATCATCATTTTACTTTCGTCTCAAATGAATTGAATTGATCAGGTAAAATTTTATTTTATTTTATCACACATTATGTCTATGGTATTCAAAATTTACAAACTACATAATGTTTTGTTTAGTAAGAAGGAAGGAAGGAAAAAAGAAAGATGGGTGGAGAAAAGATAGAAAGAAAAAAGCAAATTTCATTCCTTTGATAGAGAAGAGACAAAGAAAGAAGAGAAATGGGAATGGATGAGTCATCATTTCTCCTTTACAAATTTTCTTCCCTCCAAACATAGACGGAAGAAACGAAAAAAAGAAATACTGTGCTATAATTTATGTTTTTAAATTACACACTTTCCTTAAAATTAACATTTTCTCTTTTCTTCCCTCATACCAAACAAAAATAATATATTATTTTGTTATATTCTCTTATATCCAATCAAACAAAAAAAGAAAAGTGCCATAATTTACTTCCTATGATGTCTCGTTCATCTCTTATTCTCTCCCTTCTATTCAATTTTCTAAAATCCTACTAAACCAAGCATAAAGGTCCAAAGTAACTAAGTAACTCACTCACTCTTTGTTATTATAATAATAAATAAAAAAAGAAAATTTACTTTTTAGAGGAGTCGGTGGTAAAATAAGTGCCCCGTTTTTTTTTTTTTTTTTTTTCCTTTCTTACAAGACAATAAGGATTAGGAGTTAGATTAGTAGGTGTAAAGAGTCGAAGCCTGGCGCACTTCTAAAATCTATCAGAGGCACTAATCACTAGGCTATCGAGGGATTTACAAATAAGTACCTCGTTTGAAAATTCAATGTTCTATTTTTTGTAATATTATTAATTTAATTTTTTTATATTGAACTTATAAAATATAAACTATCACAACTTCAATAATAAATTTAATAATTTATTCATTGTTAATACAATAATAAATAAAAATTTATTTACTTAAAAAATTAAATTTAAAAAAGAAAACACTTATTTTGAAACAGGTCAGTAATGTCTTCAAATTAGAGTATGGTCTAAAGTGAAGGGGTATTTTTGTAAAATCATTATAAACGCGTGAAGAGCAACTTGGGAAAATTTGAAAGCTCGTGTTCCTCCCCCATTGAGCTATAATTCACCACCCTTCTGGAGGTCCACCAACCTATTACTACTATATTACTCATTATTGACTTTCTCTCTCCTCTCTCTCTTTTTTTTTTTTTCCCTTCTCTCTCCGCCTTTAGTCCACTCAATTTAAACGTGCTTGAAACTTCCCTGTACTTTTCTATGAAAAAGAAATACATACTAGTCCACTTCAAAATGTTCACACACATCCAAAGAACAAGTTGAGAAACCTGTGTCTCCCCATCTATATCATATAATACCATATATTTCTACTGTTATATCTATATCCTTAACCACCCCCATATCATATGCAAAGTATACAACAAGATACTATTCCCTTTCTTCCTCAACTATTAATTCCAACTTCAGTTCTAAGATCTCCAATTGATCAATTCTGTGAAGCATAGTGGAACTTAATTTTACAAGTTATGTCTAGTTCACAAGATTTTTCGCTTAGCCGGAGGTCCGGTAGGACGCCGGAGATATCCAATTTTGCTCAGACTTGCAACCTCTTGAGTCAGTTCATGAAGGAGAGAGGAGGTTTCAGAGATATAAGCATGGAAATTGCCGGGAAACTAGAACCCAAAGGTACAATTTTATTTTTTCTCTCTTTAGAGAAAAAAAGAAAAAGAAAAAAAAAAGACTTTATTCAGTTATAATTATTATGTAGAATTTTTTTTTTTTCTTTTTGCTTTATGATTATGCTTTTCAGATCATGTTTTCTTTGATTGCTAAAAACCTTACCCCCACAAATATATATATATATATATATATTGCTAGATCTTTTCATAGAATTCTGGTTTTTGTGTGTGTGTGGTGGTGGTGGTGCAGTGCAATGGTACTTTGTTGACAGTTGTATGGTTTTTGAAGGATACAATTAATTATATACTCAAAAGAGATCTAATGTTTTATGGATTTTACATGGAAACTAAAAGGTTTCAATTATTGTTTGGTACTTTTCAGGGATTGCAGAAATGTCTGGCTTGAGGACAACAATGAACTTGTTACCAAACATGGAGAAATCGGGTGAGATATGGACACAACACGTGAAGTCCATGGACTTCTTTCCTCAGTATGCCGAGGCAGCTTCCTCCAATACCATAAAAGATGCCTCCAGCTCCAGGTTTGTTGTTTTCTTCATCTCTATTATTGTGTTTATTTTCCTTTTTATTATATATATATATATATATATATATATATATATATAATATTGTATTACTATATCTCTATAGCCCAATATATAGCATATGCAAATTCTCTTGTAGTAACAAGCTTTTTTTGTTTTTGTGTTATCAGCAAATCTGCAGAGATGGAGGGTAAAACTGCCCAAATGACTATATTTTATGGGGGACAAGTGTTAGTGTTTGATGATTTTCCATCTGAAAAGGCAAAGGAGGTGATGTTATTAGCTAGCAATGGAAGCTCTGCTAATTCTACACCCTTTGTTTCAACCTCTTCTGTTGCTTCTGGTTCAAATGCTTTTCCTAATTCCGGATCTAACCCTGCCCAACAATGCCTCAAACCACAACCTCAACCTATTACTTCAGGTAATTAATTCACTATTATTTAGTAATTTATAAAACAGTTTTAAGAAATAAAACAAAATTTTAAAGATTGAGAACTTGATTTAGTTACTAATTATTTGTGGGGATTTTTGTGTTTTCAGATCTGCCAATTGCAAGAAGAGCATCACTACACCGGTTCTTCGAGAAAAGAAAAGATAGGTAGGTAATTTGTAAGCAACATTAAAAAAAAAAAAAATACACTGAGAATTTCGGGATTAGTCTTGTCCAAACGGATCTTCAAATAATCTGATTGTTTTTTTTTTTTTTTTTTTTTTCAGGGCAACTGCCAGAGCACCATATCCATTGCACAACCCGGCGACAACTGCATCTCCCAAACAAGAGGAACAGCTTGAGCTCAGACTATAGTCATATTATTATTTTATTTTTAGGATCAACTCACTATTTTCCTAAATTGTTACCCTATTTTTGGTTCTTGTTAGTCCACCAGATTAAAATGTCTAACTGTTCCTCTACAGATATTGTTACATTTTCTATATCAGTTTTGTAAATTATGGCTGTCAAGTCAGTAAATTCTGAAGGCTTTTTGCTAGTTCTGTGCACTACTTGATCTTGCTATATATATATATATATTTGCGTGAATGTACTGCAAAACTCCAAATATCCATCAGACTAATAATAATAATTAAAAATAAATAAAATAAAATAAAAGATCAAAGCATGCATATACTGCAAAACTCCATTTTGTGTTCAGATGGGTCACAACTTCGGTGATTAAGGGTTATCTAAAAAATTTTGAAAATAAATAATGGTACCCATCTACCCATTTTATTATATGGTATGATATTATTCATAACTTTGTTCCAAATATTTACAATTTTTTTTAGTTTTATGGAAAAGACGTCATATCTTTTAGCTATAAAACCATCACATAAAAGCACTTTACATTATAATTATGTAAAACAATCACATAAAAGCACTTTACATTATAATTATGCAACACGGTGTATCCTACCTAGATCGTCACAAAGAATCTATCAGAAAAAAAATACTAAAAGATTAAGTTTGGTTACATGAAATGACATGATGTGTTGGAATTAGAATTAAAAAAAAAAAAATATTAATTTAAACATTAACTTCTCTCCTATTTTAATTTTAAGGCACAAATTTCATGGAACTGATAAAATCGTTTTTATTTTAAATTGATATGTATGCAGAAAAAAACAAAGATATATTATCTTTTTAAAAATTGTTTAATAAAGATTTAATGAGAGCTGGAACTTGACTTGTTCATGAGAAATAAAATTGACCAGTTGACTTGTTCATTAAACTGACCGACGATGAATGAAGACCATTCACATATTGGGTTGACTCTTGGACGTTAATTCCAACTACCACAGTATTTGTGTTAGTGTTGAAACCTATCCTTATTGCGTTGAAATCCCTCTCTTATTGTTTATTTTTATTTTATTTTTTAAAATCCGCTCTTTTATACTATAATATTTTTCGTAAGCAAATATAAATTGGACATTCATATGTATAATGTATGATTCGCAATATTAATTACGATCGTAATATAATAAATTCAAATAAAATTAATATTAAACGATATGGCAGCCAACCGTGATATAATGTGAATACAATTTTAAAGTAATAGCCAAACAAATGAAAAACATGTGTAAGAGAGATTATAACAAGAAAGCATTGGAAAAAATGGTTACGATTGATGTTGAACACATGCCTAACATATAAAATAAACAACAAAAATCCAAATCAAAGGCTGCGTATTCTAGTTGTGTAAATTTGCACCATTTAAAAATAATATAAAAATAAAAACTGCACCATTTGGTCAAACTCACTTGGAACCGGAAATGAACATAATGTTGATGAAATTTTTTGTGAAGGAAATATAATAATATTATATGCTAAGTTCTGATATCACTTCACACTTGCGTAATTTAGAAGGGATGAATTGGTCTATTTATTCTTTCAATTGACTTTTAACTTTAGTTATTAGTATTAAATTGATAGTCCAGTTGCAAATATGCAATAAAAGTAATAGAGTAAATAGAAAATCAGATTTTTTACTTTTGTCAAAATTCTGTAGTCGAAGGTTAACTTCAGACTTGTTCTTACTTATAAACTCGAATGCATATAGACTTGGACGTTGCAGAGTCAGATTCACTTTCACAATATTGTAAACAAACGGTTGAAAAATGAACACAATTGCTCCACGGACCATTTGCTCTCTCCTTGGTGATAAAAAATTCCTTTGAAGTAAAATCTGAATTGAATGAATTTGATGATAAAATTTTGGTTGATGTGTTGAATCAATGAAGCACAATCAAAAAGTTGTATTGTGTATTCTATCTCATTTAGGTGAACCATAAACTCTTTTATATAGGCTTTAGAAATATTTATTCTTAGTTCTTGAATGATTATACCATTAGGCAATGGATGTGTTTTTGTTGGGTTCTCATCTAATACAGACTTGAATTGTGTTAAAAATACGTTAAAATTGATTCTAAATACATTTTATCAGTATAAATCAAAATTCCACGACCTTTTTGTACCAATTTTAACACAAATAAACATTCTACCATTTCAACTCCATTTTTTAAAGAATTCAAAGACTACACATAAGACTTTTCAAACTTCGTCAAATACTTGAACAAGCTTGAAATTGGGCATTGTTGAAAATTTTGTTTAGTCTACTTTATGAATATATAAAGACGATCTCATAACTCCAATTATGAAATGAGATATAACCAAAAAAAAAAAAAAAATGTTAAGAGAAATAGTTGAGAATTTGATAGAATATAATACCCTAGTGGTTACATTTCAAAGGCTATACAAATTATGTTCCAAGATTTTCAATATATATTTTTCTATTGAAAGCAATAAAAATTTTTTTTTCAAATTATCCAAATCAACCCGAGTCAATATACAAATCATGTTTGAAACTATAGTAAAAAATGATCAAACTATTCAAGTCTTTATCAACCTATTTCGTAAGTTTTCTACCATTAAACTTATCTTTTCTTAACGTGGTTGAAGCTCAAGAAGCATATTGTTGAGATACTTTGATGCATCTTTCATCTCCTTACTTTATTTCTCATTTTGAGCTTTATTTTCACGAGTATAGTGATCATTGAGGATCCACCAACAAGGATGTACAGTACATTTTGTTCACATACCCTAAAACAAAATTTGCCAACATACAAATATTATCCTAATAGAACAGTATTTTGTTAAAAGCGTAAACTAGTTTTACCTTTTTACTTTCGTTAAACTTCAAATCAATGAAATAAGCTTGGTTTCAACTATGAACTTGATTATGGAATGAGACGAGCTTGCTAGGGTCAGTTTGATTGATCCATTACAATTTGAAAACAATCATGGTGATTTTTTGTTATACCATTGAGGGTTGGAGTTCTATAATGGACATTTTGTGTGTGTTTATTTAACCCCAAAAAGCATAATAATTTTCCTTTTGTTAAAAAATGGGTAAATTACCCTACTCCATAATAAAATGCTTAAATAACAAAAATCTTCCCTTTAATTTGAAAAATAGCGCTAACTTCTTTCATAGTTATGGTCAAGAGTAACACTAACCACCTTTTCAACTTTCGCAAAAATAAAAAAAAAATAAAAAAAAACCACAACTAAATCTCTTTTGTCATAAATCCGTCAATATTATTTACTGGTGTCATGTCTGAAAGAAAATTTAAAAATTCAAAAATGTCATTGGAATGTTTGAAAAGACATTTATATCCATATCTTGTAATGGTAAAAACTCAACTAGTATAATTCCAATTTCACATATTCATAAATTGATAAAACTAAAATGAAAGGTCAGTGTTATTTTTAAAAATATAGAGAATGTTTATGTTATTTAAGTAATCTAAAAGGGTAGATCAGTATAATTTACCCTAAAAAAAAATTTGTACTCCTTTATTGATAAAGGGAGTAATAAAATTTTGTGAAGATAAAAAAAATATTTGCACACCACAACATATATGCTCAGGTCCTAGTTTGTTTTTTTTTCTTTTTTTGGTCCTGACAAGAAGGAGCCAGGCTAGTACAGGAACATCAAAAAACAAACAACAACATAACAACATTACAAAAGAACCACAAACACAAGAAATCAGACTACTTTAAAGAAACCTATTCATAAGCTAAGACATGACTACCGTCATGAGAACCAAAGCTTAAGCAATTTCTTGAGGAGGAGATCGTCCAGCACCCACCAAAATGACAATTTTCATTGCAAACGATTGGGAGGAATCATAAGTGAAAGAATCCGTCAAGTACGCCCCCATGCCGCCTGAGGAAGCTGAATTAACACCAGCCAAACTACTAGGAGGACTGAACGAAGCCATCTGACTCATAGCACCACCTGTCATCCCCTTACGCCTTTTATCCCCTTTCGACTGAGCCACTGAAGAGCCACCAGAGATTATTTGACGACGTTTGTAACCCTTCTTAGGCGGTGAAGAACCCTAACTATTAAAAGTGGAAGACGAATCGGATGGTGACCCTTTGCCAGTTGTGGACTTCGCCTTGCCTTTCTACCGCCCCTTTACCATCTGGTCCCAGTGCTCTAAAGGTAAAATCCAGCCCTTAATAGGAAATGTAAACAGAGCATAGTTGACACACCCCAGCCCAATTTACACTATTTAATAAATTGAACAACTTGGAATGCATCAAACCATCTGCATTAACTTCACTCAACATAACGTCATCCTACATCAGAGTACCTGTTTAATAGTTTACAATTTAAAAACAAATTATAGGCCCGTTATGCAATTTCTGACAAACTAAATTGTTAATGACAAGTTACACTATTAAATTCTACTACAATATTTACATCTTAAACAAAAGACGTTCCATTGTTCTTTTCTCCATTCACACACAAGATTCTAGACTTGGCAGTAGCAACCCAACCTGATACCTGAAAAAAATATAATTATGGAATGAATGAGCTTCAAGCCCAGTGAATGCAACATTACCACATCAGAGTAATATAAAAACATATTATCTGATAACTTCAATTAAACTTCACTAACATATTACAGGCATTAAAATATAGTACTCTTCTTCTAGGCCAGAGCATGGACCTTATATAATATAGTACTCTCCTTCTTGGCCAGTGTATGAACCTTATTTAATGTAGTACTCTCCTTCCAGGCCAGAGTATGAACCTTATTTAATGTAGTACTTTCCTTCTAGGTTAGAGTATGAATCTTATTTAATATATTACTCTCCTTCCAGGCCAGAGTATGGACCTTATTTAATATATTACTCCCCTTTTAGGCCAGAGTATGGACCTTATATAATATAATCAAGTTATATATATATGCATCTTCAATTCAAATAAACAGCTTCAATACTTCAATTAAACATATCCAAGTATAAACTTCCAGTGAGTATACTCACCTTGGCTACTTTTCAAATTATTTAATTGTCCTTCCGTATGGTTGTACCTCCCGTCTCCTTCTCTTTGCCTATACAACATTATAATCAAGTTATATTTATTTTCTAAAATGAAACAACCCATAACCATCATGCTTATACTAAATCTCAAGTCTGATACAAAATTATAGGTAAAATCCCAATCATACATGTATAGATTCAATTCGAACTAAATAATTCGAATGGAATTATAATTGTATTCATTCATACCAGGCAATTAAATTAAATTAGTAAGAATGGAAAAATGAAATCTATGCTAAAAACAATTAATTGAATTGAAATCTAAATAAAGAATTCTTACAAAAGAATTTAAAAAATACGAACTTCCTTACTAGCACAGTCGCTCCACTAGATTCCTATTTAACTTCGCTTTGCTTTTCTTTTCTTAATCTTTGTCTTTTGATTGCCCTCTGTTTTTCCCTTCCTTTCTTGTTCAAACTTCAGTAGTTAAATCATGTGAGGCTATCCGAATTTTAGGAGCTTCTAAAGGAAACTTTTGGAAAAATTCTATTTTCGACACATATACCTATCCATATAGATATAGATGTAGTTGTATGTGTTGTGCTGTCAGCTTATAAACCCACGTGCTGGCAGCCCATTTCTTTCTTTTCTTTCTATCCATGAACACAATTAAATTACTTGCTTGAAGCGGTCAAATAAGCTTTTTATATGACATTTTGTTTATGTGTCGATTTATATACATACGTGTAGTGTGCATATGCTTTGTGCTGGCAACAACAATTCCTGCTAATATTAGATTAATATATATGGTAAAATTGGTCAGTAAGACTTCTAAAGAAGCTTCTCAATTGAACCCATATAAAAATTGTTTTACTAGTACATAACCAACACATACACTTACCCACACACCTCACCCGGCCACCTATGCACCTTTGTCCCATCTCCTCATTATATGACTTTGTAATCTAAATTCTTTTCCATAAGAATAGGTATGACATTTGGGTTAGTGGTGCTGGGAACTTTGTTATATATATAAATATATTTATTTTACTAATTATAACATATATATATGACACCACCACAAATAAACTTCATGATAACTACCACGGTAACAAGTTAATTAACTTTAATTGACTACCACACTCATGAATAATATCTCAAATATGTGCAAACAAATCTAAGTGCCATATAAAATATTCACATATAATCCATGTTTAATGAAAAATTAAATCATGCTAATGAAATTAATTTTTGTATTGGGGTCTTACAATTTTTCCCCCTTTTTATTAATTTCGTCCTCGAAATTAAAATGCATGAAACATACCGAACAAGTGCGGATATTGCATTCTCATAGTTTCCTCGCTTTCCCAAGTTGCTTATTCAACTGTGTAACTTCTTCACAATACTTTTACCAGTGATATAGTTTTATTTCGTAGCATTTGGCGATCCAAAATCTGTACCGGTTCCTCTACATAAGTCAAATCTTCCTTCAACTCTATAGGTTCTGCAACTAAAACGTGAGATATGTCTGATATATACTTCCGAAGCATAGACACATGGAAAACATCATGCAATTTGGATAATTCTTCCAGTAATTCTAACCGATACGCCACCGCTCCTATTCGTTCCAGAATTTTGTAAGGTCCAATGTACCTGGGACTTAATTTACCCTTCTTTCCAAACCTCATAATACCTTTCCAAGGAGAAATACGAAGGAAGACAAAATCACCAACTTCAAATTCCAAATCCCTTCTTTTTCGCACATCCACATAACTTTTCTGTCTATCCTGTGCTACCTTCATACGCTGCTGAATTATCCTCACTTTTTTCTGTTGTAAGTTCAACCAATTTTGGACCCAATAATTTTCTTTCACCCACTTCACCCCAACACACTGGAGTTCTACATTTCCTCCCATACAATGCTTCATATGGTGCCATCCCAATAGTAAACTGATAACTATTATTATAAGCAAATTCAATCAACGGTAAATAATCATCCCAACTACTTTTGAAATTCAGCACACAAACTCTCAACATATCTTCCAAAATCTGAATAGTTCGTTCTGACTGCCCATCAGTCTGCAGGTGAAAAACTGTACTGAACTTTAAAGAAGTTTTCATGGCTTTTTACAAACTACACCAAAATCTAATAGTGAACTTCGGATCCCTATCACAGCAATAGAAACTGGAGCCCCATGTAAACATATGATCTTATCAACATACAAACGAGCATACTCATTTATAGAATAAGTAGCTTTTAGTGCCATAAAATGAGCTGATTTCGTCAATCTATCAACAATCACCCAAATGGAGTCATGTCCCCTTTTTTATCTTGGAAGTCCCGTCATAAAATCCATTGTCACATGCTCCCACTTTCACTGAGGAATTGGAAATGGCTGCAATAACGCTGTTGGTTTCTAATGTTCAGCTTTCACTTGTTGACATACTAAACACTTTGCTACAAATTCTGCAATTTTACGCTTCATATTGTTCCACCAGTAATATTCCTTCAAATCCCTGTATATTTTAGTACTCCCCGGATGCATTGCATATATAGAACTGTGGGCTTCATCTAAAATATCTTTCTTCAAAGAAATATCATTTGGAACACAAATTCGACTATTAAAATACAAAGTCCCACCATCCCTAACTGTAAATTGAGTTTGCATACCTTCTTGAGCTTCTCTTCGTTTCTTATCCAGGAATATATCATGAATTTGCAACTCTTTAATTCGATCCAGCAACAAAGGTCTCACCGTAACATGTGTAAAGAATGCTCCGTTATTAGTAACTGTCAATTTGACTTCCATCAGTCTCAATTCCATAATATTTGCCACACGTGCACACTGTACACAAGATAGTCTCCCTGAAGACTTCCTACTCAAGGCATCTGCTACTACATTAGCTTTTCCAGGATGATGGTGAATATTACAATCATAATCCTTGATTAACTCCATCCAACGCCGTTGTCTCAAATTTAAGTCCTTTTGTGTAAACAAATACTTCAAACTCTGATGATCAGTGAATATTTCACAAATCTCACCATACAGATAATGCCTCCACAATTTCAAAGCAAAAACAATAATAGCTAACTCCAAGTCATGTGTGGGATAATTCAATTCATGATTCTTCAATTGTCTAGAGGCATAAGCAATTGCCTTGCCATTTTGCATCAAAACACATCCCAGACCCTGATGTGAAGTATCAATATAAATCACAAAACCTTCGCCACCACATGAAATAGTTAACACTGGGGCTGACGTTAACTTTTTCTTCAATTCTTCAAAACTTCTTTGGCATTCCTCACCCCACACAAACTTTACTTCCTTCCGGGTCAATTTTGTTAATGGAAAGGCAATACTAGAAAACCCTTGGATGAACTTCCTGAAATAACCTGCTAATCCCAAAAAACTTCTGACTTCTGTTACATTAGTAAGCCTTTCCCATTTCACCACTGCTTCCACATTTGATGGGTCAACATAAATACCATCCCCAGATACCCCATGCCCCAAAAATACAACTTTATCAAGCCAAAACTCACATTTGCTGAATTTAGCAAAAAGTTGTTTCTTTTGTAAAATCTATAGCACAATTCTTAAATGTTTTTCATGTTCATCCGCACCCCGAGAATATATCAAATTATTATTGATGAAGATAATAACAAACGAGTCAACATACGGATGAAATACTCGATTCATTAAATCCATGAACACCGTTGGAGCATTGGTTAACCCAAAAGGCATTACCAAAAACTCATAATGGCTATATCGAGTTCGGAAAGCAGTTTTAGAAATATCGCTATCCTTTACCTTCAACTGGTGATATCCTGACCTCAAGTCAATCTTAGAAAACGCCCTTACCCGTTGCAACTGATCAAACAAATCATTAATTCATGGTAATGGATACTTGTTTCTGATGGTTATTTTATTTAACTATCTGTAATCAATACATAACTGCATAGTACCATCATTCTTCTTGACAAATAACACTAGTACACCCCACGGTGAAATACTAGGTCGAATGAAGCCCTTATCCAGTAAATCTTGCAATTGTACTTTCAATTCTGTCGATGTCATTCGATACGGAGCAATAGAAATTGGAGTTGTCCCCGGTAGCAACTCAATGGCAAAATCTACCTCTCTGTCCACTGGCAACCCCGGTAATTCTTTTAGAAGCACATCTGTGAATTCCCTTACCACTGGTATATTTTCAAGTGTCACATCTTTATTTTCTGTATCAACCACATAAGCCAAGTAATCCTGACACCCTTTTTTTCAACAACTTTTTGGTTTGTATAGCTGAGATGAGACAATTTGGAATAACATTTCTTTCTCCGGTAAATTTGAATTCTGGTTCCCCTAGTATCTGAAATACAACTTCTTTCCGAAAACAATCTATTGAAGCATGATACGCAGACAGCGAATTCTTACCTAAAATGATATCAAAATCTGGTATACCCTACAGTATCAAATTCACCTTTAACTATCTATCTCCCAATTGTAAAACACAATCCCGATATTCATTTGCAACCACTACCAATTCCCCCATTGGTGTAGAAATAAACAATTTACTATCTAATGATGAAAGTGGTCTATCCAAAAGCATAGTAACAGATGATGCAACAAATGAATGGGTTGAGCCAGAATCAATAAGTATAATAAAATTTCTATCCAAAATAGAAAGTGCACATGTCACCACTTCTGGTGTTGCTTGAGCATCCTGAAGTGTCATAGCAAACACTCTTCCCTGAGCTTGTGAATCACATATAGCACCCCTACCTTCTCTTGACGAACTCCCCTGTACAAAACCTCTACTAGAACCAGCAACACTACCCACTGAGGTCACTCCTGTCAACATAGAGCAGTCTTTCTTCCGATGACCCGGCTGATGGTAATGATAACATTCTTCTGCTTTCAACACAGGACAATCCTTCTTCTAATGGCCTTACTTTCCACACTGAAAACACCCCTTGCCAGTACCACGTCCGCCAAAGCTACCTTGTTGTACAGATTGTTATTTGGAAAGCCCTTGACCTCTTCCAATACCTGATGTCTGCCTTTGAGATTCACTACCCCTTCCCCTTCCATACCGCGACCTTTGACTTTTCTGAATTGAAATTCCTTTACCTCCTCTTGATTGTGATGGCTCAGATCTATTTCTTTTGTATTGTTCCCTTCTTTCTTACAATTCTTTCACATCCCTTTCGGCAATCATAGTTTTATTCACAAGTCTGTTGTAATCTGTTTCCTCAAACGCTGAAACTCTGGTCTTAATAGCCACCTCTAAACCATCCTGAAATTTTGTACATTTATCTTCTTCATTCTGTACAAACTTGGGTGCAAACCTCGATAAAGCTGTAAACTTAAATTCATAATCAGCTACAGACATTCTATCTTGTTTTAGGAGAATAAACTCCCATTCTTTCTCTTTTCTTCTGGTCTTCTGCTGCACCCATCACTGCAAATATCAATTCCATTCTTCTTACCCACCCCTCTGCTTCTTCTGGTTTGGTAGTACTTGAAAATTCTGGGGGTGTTAACTTGATAAAC